ATGATATGGAGTCTGGAGGAGAGGGATGTTTTTAAACCATTGACTTCTGTTATTTCTGTTGAAGGGCACCTAGGCGTAGCCTCCTAGTGTCTTTCTGATTTTTCATTAGACAAAACAAAGCTTTTCAGCATTTTTCCTGTTTGTGTGACCCTGCAGAGTGCTCTGGGGTGACCCTCGGGCTGGAAAAGTCACTGACCGGTGTCTGAAATCTCAGGACATCTGGAGCCTCAGGCTGGACATTTAGATCTACTGCAAACAGCAGCACATTATACATAAAGTGATTTGAATAATCTAATTTTTTTCTCTAAATTCGAGCATGTATAAAATGTTAATTTTGTCAACAAGTGGAGAAAATGTCACTGCGAATCTGCTCTCGGATGGTGTACCTGGTGTGTGGAGAAGCCTGTTGAGAGGGACCCAGAACATAATCTTGGTTTATTAGCTGCAAAAGCTTTTTCCTTTGTTTCTATTCATTTAATTCAAAGTGAAACAACTCAGCATGCAAAACTAAAATTAGCTGAGGAAAAAAAAGGTGTAAGTGAATAAACAGGCAGATCCATTAGAGTCCATGGGTTATTGGATCCTTTGCCACTCCTCAGACAGCAGCCTATTAAAACCGGTAATGTCCGCTGCCAGCAATGCCCCTGGCAAAGAAAGAAGGCTGAGGCAGGCCTATTTCACATGCATCAGACACAAAAATTAAATAGACCAATGTTCCCTAAAAGACTGAAGTACAACTCTTTCTGACGTTCATCTCAGGCAAAAATTCATTGATCTCAGTATGTCCCTTGGCAATTATAAAATATTAAACCCAAGTCACACTTTTCTAGTTGACTTAATTTTTTCTCTTTTCACAGCTTTCTATTTGATCAACTTTAACAAGTTAGAAATGGCATCTAGTAATAAAAAGTACAGAGTTTAAAAGTTTGTTCTTTTGACATATTTTCTTTTTTATTTTCTTTTAGGTTTGCATTAACTTTGTGTTCCATAAAATGACTTGAATGCTATTTTAACAAACAGAAAGAACATCAGTGAGCCAGAAGGTTCTTTGTAGAGAATGATATTCAATAGGAGGTTTTCAATGATAAAGACCTAGTCTGATTTGGAAGAATTTTTTTTTAGCACATACCCAAACAAGTCTCCTTATTGTTTTGTATTCGTTAGTGTTCCCCTACTCCAAAATTACCATGTGGTTTAATCCGGGAGTATCTGGTAGGACTAGAGTTTTGAGTAGGCTCCACTGAGATTTACAAAAGATGTATATCCCTTTCCCCATTTTATGCATATGTAATTTTTTAGCGTTTGATGTTTGTTAATTCAGAATATAACATAAATGCCAGTATAGGCACACATAATAAAAATGCAAGATTCAAGAAGCCTATTTTCATTAGAATATCAATATGGGAATTCTTTGGGGAAAACATTGCATAATAGTAACTTCACTCTCCAGTTCTCTTTGCTGTAAATTATGAAAGCATTCCCCTAAATTTGCAAATACATTTTATACGAAATAATAAATTTTTCTGAAAAAAAAGATATGTGGTGATTTTCCCCCTACATTTAGTTTTTCCTGTGGGAACAAATATTCATTAATTGTCCTCTTGGTACCAATTCCTTTATTCAATGCTTTATTTATGTTTCACTTACTTCTTCCCACAAACACTGTCAAATCATGGCATTGTCTCTACTTTTTAGGTAAGGAAAAGAATCCAAGGCACCTAGATCATCCAGCAACTTTCCCCCCTGGCAAGCCAGGCCAGTGCTGTGGGGCCCCAAACAGCAGGATCACAAATAAAGGGGAAGGAAACTGGGTTGAACAGGGAGAGGCCTGCGGTGCAGCGCTACAGGGCATTGCAGGTGAGGCGACCGCAGTATCCAGACGAGAACCTGAAGACCAGGGATGGGGTTAAGCCGCAATGCTGTGATCTGTGTGTCTTCCTCAGATTGCTGTAGAGATGTCAGCATCCAGCTTGCCTTACTTTCAAATTACATTCAGGCTGACGAGTTGTGCTTCTTTGTCTGAGACACTGCCCTGAGACTGGACCACATGGGTGATGACTTTATAAGAGCTGTGGTTATTCTGAATGGCCAATTATCAACATTTCAAAGAGAATTCAGAATAGAGTTTTGAAGGCTCTAAGCCTAGTGGCTCTGGGGTCTTAATAGGCTTTGCCTGGGCTTCTGTAGAAACCGTAGGTAGAGTTTTCTCTGCAGCTGCTGCTCTCTTCTCCTTTAGCAGCTATTCTTTCATACTTCCTCCTCTGTCTGACTGTGCAATGATCATGGACTGCATTTTTCCTTTCTGAAGGGGAAAGAATCTGACCCTTTGAGGAAGATGATCAGAGTTCATGGGTTTCGAACCATGCTCTGAACCACCTCTGTTTCGAACCACCTCTGTCACAGTTGGCTGCTGCTGGGACCCTGCGGTGAAGGTTGGCAGTGTGTACAGCTGTGGTGGACTCACCCATTTCTGGGCCTTCCATAGTCGAGTCTCCTCTCTGAGTCACCAGCTCCTCCTCAAGGTCTGGCCTCGCCTATGCTTCCTGGCACCTATTCTACCAGTCCTAGAACACAAATTCACCTGGACTAGGTGTCCAGGAAGGATCTGCAGAGCCAGAGGATAGGTGGGTGGGTAGACGAATGAATGAATGAATGAATGGGCAGATAGATAGATGGAAAGCAAGGAAGAAGGATGGATGGATGGATGCAAGGATTGAAGGATAGATGGATGGGCAGAAGAACTGAAGGATGGTTGACATAAATTCATGTCAGAAACCGAATACACTGTCCCCCAAGAAGCATAGCAAGAAGCAAAGACCTAAGAAGGAAGTTTTGCCCAAAGAAATGTTATTCCGAGTTAAGTTTCTCAAGGTGTGCTTTTCCGTGTTTTGGGAATAACCTGGACGGTCCATTCCTTAGGTCCCTGGATTCTACCTCAAAGCTACTCAGTCAGAAATGTGCCTTTGCAATTGATACCCCAAGAGATTCTTGTGCAGCCCAATGATTGAGATCACTGCATTTTAAAAGTAAGATTTCAAGTGTCAAGCAGGCCTTCTACTTTCTGGTGATGGAGTGGGACCTGATCTCAGCACCTGCCACTTCCTTTCTCCTCTTTGCACTAGCCAAGGCTCCAGGCTCCAGCCCAGCCCTTGTTGACACAAGATGCCCTTCCTGCCACCAGAGGCTGTGTTCCTAGAGCCCCCACCCATCTCCGAACAGAAGGTTTATTCCTAATGCTGTGGAAGCCAGGTGCACCTTGTACTCCATGTGCTGCCACATCTAGTTCTATGGGTCCTGGGGACCTTTGAGGGCAGAGACATTTGGCTCCTCCGGGCCTGGAACTTGTGCATGAGGATTAGCTACAGAACCATGCAATTCCCCCCGCCAAAGGGGGCCCAGGTGACCCAACTCCTAAAGTTTCATTCCCTTTAGTATGAGGGATTCCTGAAATGTAGCAGGTATTGGAATAGACTAACTTAGTAATTACTTCTTAGGTAGACCCTCCATTAGCTCATCTGGAAAATGGGTGTAAAAACAACAATTTCTTTGTTTTGGTCACAAGAAGGTTGTTTGGTTGCTACAGATACCTCATGAAAGTGAATGTCCTTTGCAAGCCTTAAAATGTATGAACACAAAGGTCCTATGCATGTTTTATCTTTGAATCCTGAGATATATCTGGGGTGATTTTCTTCCTCCATTGGTGGAGCTGGGGCAATGCTCCCTAAATCTGAACCTGCATGGGCCTGGGAAGAAAAAAGGCCTTTTTAGAGCTCATTGTGCCCTGAAATTTTGTACAGGCTTTGAGACTTGCAGTATCACTCCATGGTCCCATTCTCCACTTACATGTCTGATTTCTCTTATAGCAGCAGGAATTTGATCTGGTTTTAATCATTGTACCACGTACTCATAAAATACAGCCATAGCCAGGGTCTATGAACAGTCTCTGTGTGAGTGTGTGTGTGCACAAGTGCACATGTACACATATGGACATGAGAGAGTATGTACACTCAATGCATAGTTGGAGTAGCCGAAACAGTTCACTTATTCCCAGCGCACATTAACATGATGCTCTTTCCCAAATATAACATGCTTCTGGAAATTCCCAAATCTTTCACTCTGAAACTCAAGGATATTGTTATTAAAATGTAAAGAACACCCTGGCAAGCTTTATTTCCCTTTAATGGCATGCTCATTTTAAAGGTCATGGTGCAGAGTTGCCAGAGCAGTGACCTGAGAATAACCTTTCTCTGCTACCTGTGTTTCTGATCCGTAGTGTTAGCGTTCGGAAATGCTCTTCCCCTCCGAGTTTCAGCAGCTAAATAAGTTGCAGCCCCTTCAGCTATACTCATAAAAATTTGCTTCCAGACAACATGGTCTGTTTATTGTGTAATAATCGAAATGGCACTAAATTGCAGTGATTGCCGAACACTTAGGAATTGTATTAACCTCTTAAGAGCTAAGTGGTTTTCTGTCATTGCTCAGCTCCGATGCGCAGTGCAAACGTTTTTCTGTCATTAGGCTTCCTTTAGTGTTACAAGGGAAGTAAAAAATCCTCAGGTCCAAGTCATGGTCCTGCTTATATCTTACTAACCAGAACAGTCTGTTGCCCGGACCAGTGACAGAAGCAGGACCTCTTTTCTGCTGGGAACCCAGAGAGGTAGGATTGCCCAGACTTATCCCAGAAGGACCTATTTCTGTTCCCTGGCTTCAGCTCATTGTGTATTTTGTTGACAATCGCTCTGTGACAATCTCTTGTTGAGAACAGATTTTTCCAAAGAGCACAGACAGTAGCTAGTTGGTCTACCAGAGCTGCTTCCCTTCAGCAGCTCCTTGCTCCTAATGGTGACAGTGTCAGCTGCCCTGCAGGAGGCTGGGCTGCAGTGGCCTCAGCATCCCTGGGCCCTGCCCGCCCTGCTCCTGTGAGCGGCAGGCCCGGGAAGGAAGAGTTAACCAGAAATGGAGCGGCGCCGCTCCGGGGCAGGCAGCCTCACTGCAGAACAGAGCAGCGTTCGTGCGAAGGCAAGTCATTTCCCGAAACACCGCAGACACACGGCCTCGGGCAGCCTAAAACCTTTGGAGACCAAAATGGCTCGCAGGGGTTGGAAGTAATAAGGTGTTTTTCCCTTCTTTCTCCTTCACTGAGATTCTGCGAGGTTGCTCTGCATGGCTGGGGAACAATGGTGCTGTTTTTGTGTTTTCTATGGGTATTAAGATCCATTACACTGTGACATTTTTAAGATTGGTTATCCTGTAGTTTGGTGTTAAATTGAAGTTGTTTGTTTTGAATTTAATTCTTTCATTTTTCAAATGGAAAAAAGCAGCCCTGTGGAGCGGTGCAGGGCTGGCTTACTGAAGTGTGTGTGCCCCAGTCGCTTTGGAGCAGAGCTCTGTGCCATCCCCGGACCTCGGCAGAATTCGCCAGGAAGGAACATGACCCATTTCCCTACTGGAAAGTCTAAGAGGATCCTTGGAGATGACTTTCACAACTAGGAGGTAGGGGTCGTCTCCATTGTATCTTGAGAGCAACACAGGATATGAGCTGGGTTTTAACAGAATGTTATACATCCAATCTGTTACGCCTAATGCAGCCTGCATATAATTATTACTACTCTGTGTTTACGACAGCAGCAGAATCGGCTTCCATCCAACAAATGACCCAGCAGCAGTGGGCCAGCCGCCACTGAAATGACATCTGTTAACTCTTTGTCAAATGCCCTCTCGTTCTCTCTTTCTCCCAAACAGCTCTGTGGTTAATTATGACCTGCACATCTGACACAGTCTTTTGAGTAGAGAGACCTGCTTAGGGGCAGGGAAATATCTGGCTCCAGGAAATTCCCTTCTCTCTCCTTTAAAAAAAAAGCCATAGCAAATTGTTTTAAAATAAACATCCATTCAGAACACCAGAATAGGTTGATGGAATATGTTTTGATTAAAACCCAAGATTACAGGGTTACCATATACCATGATGTCTAGAGACTCAAGCCTTCATGGAAAAAAGAATCACACCAAAGTCTTGTTAAACCATAGGAAAGTTTCCATTAGAAGAGCACAGGCAGCCATCATTACCTTTGATGCTCACAGAGCCAGGGATCTAGCACACATTTGTGCTACCATTAATACCTTGGTTAATGGTAAAAGGCAGTTTCATTGTAATTTAGTAACTGGAATCTGAGATGACCAATCTGATAAATCAAAATTTAGGTCCAACACCACTAAGAGGTGACTCTCTTACAGGGCCAGATTTCCTTGCAGAAGTCTGTGTTAGTGTTAAGTATCTGATGCTGCATCTAGTAATGTGTCTGAGAGCCTCCTGCCTCTTGCTTTCCATCCTTCTGTCCTCCAGAACGAGCTGCAGAGTTCTGGGCTTTTACTGTGGGATCCAGAAGTCAAGCCTAAACATCTACGGACTAAATATTCCAGCTCTCTTCCCTGCCTGGTCTCTAACCCCAGGTTCCTACCAAGTGTCTGCTGTGTAATTGCCTGTTAACTTTTTCATATGGGGTTCAGCAAAGCCTTGGCTGAGAATGTGGCTGATTTACCATAGAACCAGAGCTGTTCAAACCTGCCTGGATGCCTGTCCTTGCAAAATCCAGGGTGGCCTCCCGACCCCTGCCAGCTAGGGAGGGCACTAGGAGGTGCTGGCCATGCCCCAGGAGAGCCTCCCGGGCTCTTCCCAGCCTGAGGAAGCTGCATCCTGCCTGCAGAGCTGAGCCCCTGTCTTGAGATGGACAGGAGTCCCTGGCAGCTTGGAACACTCCAAAGCTTTTACTGTAAGACCCCAGAGAGCCATTTGGTGGCGCAACCACCAAGAATATTGCCCAGTGATTGTGAGCAAAGACTTGTGATTTGAGCAGCACATGGAAACTCAGCTTATTCCCACATTCTCATACCATGTTCATTTCTTCTGCCTTTTCTTTTCTGTTTTTCTTTAATCCTCACTCCACTCCTACCCCCTCCTTATGCTAGAAACCAGGACGTCACAAATGCTAGGCAAAGTGTACTACCACTGAGCCCTATCCCTAATCCTTTGCCAGTTCAGATAGAAATACATTTTAATGCAATTCAAAAACTCTACGATCTGCTCAAAACTCTTTTTTTCCTACCGGTGTCTTTTGAGCCTCTACCCAGCTAGGCTCTGAAGGCTGTTTCTAGACCTTTCCCACTAAGGGGACTGTGGGCTCAACTTTTGGAAGCCATGATGGAAAGTGGGGTCCTTGAGTATCTCAGATGAAAGCCTATTGTATCACCCCTCCTGTGCGGCTTTGCATATGAATTTCTTCAGACACTGAGATGAGAGTTTTAACATGGCTTTGCTTAGGAATCCAGCCCAGAGCAAATAGATGGCAAATGCTGGAGTAAAGAAAGCAACCTTGCATATGGTAAGCATGGGAAAAAAGAATTGTCTTTTTCTTATAGGCTAACTCACCAGGGTCATGACTTGCAAGCCACTAAAAGGTTTCCAGAACTTGAATCAAAGCAGACTTATGGTTATATGCTTTAGGAGTGTGTCTCTAGATCTGATTGTTAGTAAATATCTATATGAGGTGGGTCCTTTGAGCTTTGCTCATTTGGGACAATTGGTTCCTCCAGATAATATAATTAGATTCAAAGTATATATGATAGAAGCAAAATTTGAAGGCAGTCTTGAACAAGCACACTGACTTCATTTCTTACTGTTGGCTTTTGACCAGTGAGGTGTGACTATAAAATCACATTCCGTACACAGCCAGGCATTGGGGCAAGATTGTACATGGCCTTGTACCATTTCAGAGCCTTGAACCTGGGTCATTGGTGGCTTCGAACCTGCAGATGGCATCTTGCCCTGTGACTAGGCAAATTTCTTCATGTCACCATTGCATGCCTCAGAGTTGAGACCTTGATTCTCAGAAAGGGAGTAGATTAGAGGTCAAACCCTCTCATGCACTGACCCCAGCCTCATCATGCCCACAGGCCTCCTCCTCTGCATATGCTCTTGACTTGTGGGAAGGTATAAGGGGCTGTCCATAGGTGTTACTGGCACATCCCTTTCCCCACTGACACTCCCACCTGCATACCTAGAGCACAAGTGGGTGGGAACTGGCTTCAGGGAGGGTCCTGAAAGGTGGTCAGGGCACCTGTGAGGCCAGAGCTCCTCTCTGACAGAGCCCTGGGACTGAGACTTTGGGGTCTGGGATTCAGGACCTGAAGTTTCCTTTTAGACTCTGTCCTGGGGATGTACATGTGGATTAAATTAGAGCAATATGTTTTCCTAACAGCATCTTGGCTGAAAAGTCAAGCAGATAAATGGAAACAAACGCGGCTTTATGTGAATGAAAAGGGACTGGTGGGAGGGTGGCTTCCGCCGAAAGCACCACAGTGGCAGGGCTGCTCTCCCGGGCGCTCCCACCCCTGCTCCTTCCCTTTGCAGGCAGGGACCCTTCGTCCAGCCTCAGAAGCCAACTCTGTGGGTCTCACCATCGTGCAACAACTCTCTCACAGGTTTCTGTTCTGACCTGACTGCTTCCACACCCCTCAGACTTCCCCATACCCTGTCTACAATCTTCTCTCAGTCAGCCTGCTGTCACGGGGAAGAGCCCACACTCCAGAGTCACACATAAGTGGCATGACGATGCCACCCCACAGGGCTCCAGGAGCACCGAGTGAGACACTTCATGCAATGCTGTAGCACAGTTCTAATATCGCTTGTACATCATCTTATTATTTTTCTCCACGCAGCCTCAAGGCCCAGTTACGTCACTTCCTCTGCTCTAGAATGATTCCCTTCCTCTCCCTCCTACCTCAGCTGGAAGGAGCAGGCCAGGCACCTTGTAACCACACAGTCAAAGTAAGTATTTAGTGAACATTTGCTGGTAGACTGGTTTGGGACTTAAGGACTCACTGTTGCTTTTAGTAGGAGGGTAGGGCTGGCCAAGTTCCCCACAAGGGCAGCTTGTACCAACCATTCCTGGCTTGCCAGAATAAATGATACTGCCATTGAGATGCTTGACGCGGGTTTATGTATCATAGGGATCCATGAAAAGGGATGTTCAGTTCCAGGAGATAACATCAAACTGCTCCCTGCCCTGAACTTAAGACATAATTGGCAAGTAAAATTTGTATATATTTATGATATAAAAAGAAGGAAACATTCCTGGCCCACTCACAGCTTCTTTGAATAGACCTGATCCCGTAATCCTCTGGGAAAACCGGCTGCCCCAGGACTACCACTCCGGCGGTCATTGACTAGCACTTTGAATACCTGATCAAGAACTGATTAATAGCAGGGTGCGGTGGTGCACACCTGTCATTCCAGCATTTGGGAAGCTGAGGCAAGAGAGATCCTCTTACTGCAAGTTCGAGACCAGCCTGAGCTACATAGTGAGCTCAAGGCCAGCCTGAACTGCATAGTGAGACCCTGTCTGTAAAGGACCAAAAACAAACAAACAAAAAAAGAATTGATTAGCTACTGGATGACTTAAGAACTTAGTAGTACTGTATCAAATTTTTAAAAACTACTTTTAAAACCAACTTGAGCACTATGTGGTGGCATACCTGTAATTCCAGAACAACTGCAAGACTGAAGCAAGAGGGATCTTCTCTCATTCCCATCTTGGGCCAGGGAATCCCAGGGACTAGACTGAGCTAAAGTCGAGGGCAAAATAGCCATTCATGCGGTACTTGTGTGCCAGCCTGTGCCAGCCAGCCAACCAGGTGGAGAGCCCATGTGACAGAGTAGGGAAGCGGTTCCCACTTTTCAGCAGTTCAAAAAGACCCTGAGTTACTGAGGTTTTTTTTTTTTTTTTTTTTTTTAGGTTCCTTCCAGAAAACAGGCAAAGGCACACACAGGCAGGCAGTTGCTCAGAGACAAGCCTCAGGGACATCCGCCTCCTATCTCCCTACAACTCAGCCTCGGAAAGGGGATGGAAGACAGGAGTTAAAAATCATAACAGGCTCCATTCCTAAACTGGTTTGCAATTATTGAGGAGAAAGCAAGACTTCGCTTTTAAGAAAAAGGTTTCTGTTTGTGAGCTACTCAGACGCCTGTCCTTTTTTCCTTTTGTGAGGGGAGGGAAAAAAGCAGGTGGAACATTGGGAAGCAGATTTGTTGTTGTTGTTGTTAAATTAGGGTTTGACGTTAGTGTCTTAAGACTCTGAGTTGATATTAAAAATGTGAAAGTGCCAACCTCAAAGCAAGTCCGTGGAGCTAACGCAAGTAGGATGGTAGCAAAGAAGAAAACCCCAGGCTGGGTGGTGAGGCGCGGCGCTGCAGGCCCTGTGGGCTCGCTCATCTCGCATTCCGCGCTGCGCTGCTGCTCACTCGCTCGCTGGCTCGCTCGGGTGGGGTGGGATCCGCGCTCCCTGCCAGCGCTTGTTCAGAGCTGTTGCCGGGGGAGGCGCCGGGCGGAGCGGCCCACACATTCAAACGAGCTGCCTGGCTGATCCAGGCTGGGGATGGGTCTCTGCCGAGACATCCTGGAGTCTGGGTCTGGGGAAGTCCTTCCCCGCAGGCAGCTGTCAGCTCTTTTCTCCAGCACTGTCCCCTAGTAAGGGGCTTAAGTTTTTAGGGGTCTGCCACATACCTGCACTTCCCAGCAAGCTCTTGTCTCTCTGTCTCCCCATCTCTCTGTCTCTCTCTCTTTCGCAAAATCTGAGGTTTATTTTTCAAATCTTTCCTATAAAACAGCATAGTATTTGCACATAACCTACTTGTATGTATGTTAATCATCTCTAGATTGCGTATAATACATAATACAAGGCAAATACTTGCTTTGTGTCTTGTCTAAGACACCCTTTGCCAGCTGCAAGTTCAAAAAGGTTTTCTCCTACATTTAATTCTAGACATTTTATAATTTTATATTTTACACCTAGATCTATAATCTGTTTCAAGATAATTTGATGTAAGGGAAGAAAAAAGGGATAGAGTACCTTTAGTTCCCATGGATTTCCAGTTGTTCGGTGCTGTCTGCTGTATAGACTAATTTCTCTAGTGAAAGAATCTGAACCCCTGTGTCAAAAATCAACCAAGTGTAGGTATGCTTATGAACCTCCATTCTGATCTACAATTCAGAATTTATAACCAGTGAAACATATGTCTATCCTGACACCAATACACACATGCTGCCTTAATTGCTAGAGTTTTATTGAAATTCTTGAAGGTAGTTCATAAGTTCTCCCATTTTTTCTTCTTTTTTTTTCAAAATTGTTTTGAGTACTGTAGGACTTTATATTTCCATAGAAATTTTAAAATTAGTCTGACAATTTTGACAAGCGAAAAATGTCTGCTGACATTATGCTTGGGATTGTTTTGAGTCCATAGATGCACTTGGAGAAAACTGACATTTTAGCATATTTAAGTCTTTAATCCATGAATATAAAATACCTCTACTTATTTACCTCTCCTCTGATTTAGCTCAACAATGTTTTTAAGTTTTATGTGTAAAAACGTTGCATGTTTTGTTAAGTTTATTCCTTTATCATTCTATTGTTTTAGGTATTACTGTAGATTTAAACATTTTCATGTTTCAATTGTTTGTTGCTAGTACTCACAGAAAAATGTATTTTTCATATAGTCAGTTTTTATTCTGATACTTTACTAAATTCACTTATTACTTCTAGTAGGCTTTTGGACATTCCTGAGAATTTTCTGTGTGAAATATCATGTCATCTTTTTTTTTTTCCTTTGATACAGGGATCGAACTCACAACCTCACGCTTGCCAGGCAGGCACTTTTGCCACTGAACTAAACCTCCGGCCCTATCATGTCATCTTTAAAGGAAAAGTTTTTACTTCTTCCTACACAGTCTGTGTATTTTCTTTCTTTTTTTGGTACCAGGACTCAAACTCAAGACCTTATGCTTGCCAGGCAGGTGCTGTGCCATTGAGCTATATCCCTGCTCCCTAATAAGTGTATTTTAAATTTTCTTTCTTTCTTTTTTTTTTTTTTTTTGCCTAGCACAATTGGTTAGTGTATTTAGTACAATGACAAATAGAAGTGGCAGAAATGGACATTCCTGGTATTCCATTCACTCTTTCATGATTGTGGTGTTACTTGTAGATTTTTCACAGGCAACCATTGTTGGGTTGAAGGTTGAAGAAGTTTCTTTCCAGTGTTAGGTTGCTGAGGTTTTTTTTTTTTCCATAAATGAAGGAAGAATTTTTTGAAACATGTCTTTTAATACCTAATAGGATGGTCATATGAATTTTTCACGATTCTATTGAGGGTGAATTACATTGATGGCTGTTGGAATGCACTGTTTTGATTGGTGGGGGGCGTGTTGAAGATAGGATCTCAGTCTGTTTCCCAAGCTGATTTCACACCCCGGGGTCCAAGTGATCCCCTTTCTTAGCCTCCTGAGTAGCTGAGGTTGCAGGCAACATCACTGATTTTGAAATATTAAGCCAAATTTACATTCCTAAAATAAATGGTCTTTAAAGTTTTGGGGCCAGAGAACATACTCTATAATTTCAATATTATAAAATTTATTGATATTTATTTATAATATAGCATATATTAGGGTACTGTACTCACCAAAATAATTTAGTGAGTGACCATGCATGTGTCATTATTAACTGTGTTGTTGTTCTAGAAATGGCAGTTATATCAAATTAGTTGATAATGTTCAAATCTTCCATATTCTTACTGATATTCTATTTATGTTTATCAGTTATTAAAATGGAGCATGAAAATCAACTATGGTTGTAATTTTATCAATTTACTTGTTTTATTATTGCTTTTGCTTTGTTTTTATGAATTTTGAAATTCTATCATTGAATGTACGTAACTTTCAGTTTTTAAAATCTTTGATGAATTATTTCCTCATTATGTGAACCCTATTTTTCACCAATAACACTCTGTCCTGACATCTGCATTATATCATATTCATACCATTACTTGGGGTTTCTTGCATTTTGTGTGGTACTTAGTTTTGTATCTAAATTTTAAATCTGTCTGTATTTTTACACTTAAAACATGTCCTAAAATATACATAATTTCTTGCCCAGACTGATCTGCATTGGGCTCTAGTGATCCTCCTGCCTCGGCCTTCCAAGTGGCTGGGGTGACAGTTGAACCCACCCCTCCTCCTGCCCCTCTACACCTGGATCTTCATCTTGTCCTATTATCCAGCATGATAATCTCTGCCTTTTAGTGTTTAGTTTTCCACTTAATTTCATATATAATTGAGTTCAAGTCTGCTATCTTCTTACTTATTTTCTTATATTCCATTTTCATTGCTGTTCCTCTTACTGCCTTCTTTGAGGTATTTTTTATTATTCCACTTTTATGCTGGCTGGTTAGTTATACTTAATTTTATTCTTTGTCCTATATCTTTAACTTATTCATAATAGTGTACCTCTTAACGTCCCCCTTACCTCTCCTCCCCGCCCCCACTTCCCCTCCCTCTCTCCTTCCTCCTCTTTCTCCTCCTTTTTCCTGTACTAGGCATTGAACCCAGGGTCTTCACACTGAATTACATTTCCAGGCCTTTTTTTGTTTTGGACAGAGGGTCTCACTAAGTTGCTAAACTGCCAGGTTGGGCTTGAACTTGTGAGTCTCCTGCCTTAGCCTCCAGGAGTGCTGAGATTACAGTGTACAGAAGTGCTGAGATTACTGTGTAAGGGCTTCTTCCTCTCTCACATAGATTAAGTTTCCATTCAGACTCCTATTCTTCAGCTTGAGCAGCTTCCTTTACCATTTCTTGAGCTGCAGGTCTCCAGTGACATTCTCTGAAAGAGTAAAAAGGAAAAAGAAAATCAGTGTAGACGGCAAAGGTGAACTCTTTCCTTCAGTTCCTAAAGATCTTTCATTTCCTTTTTGTTTGCATCATTCAGATAAGTCAGAATTAACTCTTTGTAATCTCTGTGTCTAATGTGCTTTTTAAAATTTTTAATTTCCTGGTTATGATGTAGAGATCTGCCTATTATGAGGCCTTACCTATTCAGGGTTAAGTGAATTTGAAACCTGTTCTTCTGATTCACTTAAAGATGCACTTGAAAATGCATGGTTTTCATTGTTCATTTTCTGTTAGTTGATTCTAAATACCCTGTAATGCTGTCATTCTCTTAAATGGTTTTATATTGTTTTGATATATTTAATGCTACAGTATACGAAGTTGTACTCAAGGATTTCAAGGAAAGAGACAATATGGTAACTACTTTTATGTCAGGATTATCTTGTGGTGAAACACTATTCTGCTTAAATGGTTATGTTTTGATCTGCGCTGTTTTGCTGTTATGCCCTCTTTTATCTCAATCTCCACTCCGTTATTTACTTTTTTATTTTTATCCTTTTAATTAAGGGAAAAATAAATAAAAATAGCAGGATATATTATAGTAACCCACTTTGACTTTCCATTATCTTGATTTAAAGCCCTGTATTACTCTCACCATCTTGTTTTTGACTGATGTCCCCTATTCTGTTTTGCTGGATAGTACCAGATTCGAAAGTTTAGGCAACAGCTGTGAAGATAGTGAGATTCATTATGACGCCCATTCTCGATGACTTTTATCTACTTTTGAAGACCTACAATGTCTGAAATGTTTTGGTTTTGTTGGTTTTGTTCTTTACTGTTTTGTTCAATTTTATTATAACTGATGATATAGGCAATTCTATTAGAGATAGCGGGAGGCATTATGGTAACCATTGTTGATCACCTTGTATTATGTTTTTACATTATCTATTATGTCCACCCTTTTGATTTGACCGACTCTGGTCTGTTATGTCACATTTGGTTTTACTCTCTTCCAAAAAAGTAATAAGAACTGTGGGAGCAATAAAACCCAAAATGTGTAATAGTCATTGTACAAAAGAGAGGAAAAGAAAGTGCTCTAAATGATATAACTGCATGTATATTTAAGTGTATAAGATAGAAAATGATGTCACTGAGTTTTATTGGATCATTGAACAGAACTGTTTGCAGTATCATTGTTGGAATGTCCACTTTACAAGCTTTAATTTTGTGACTTGAACAATTATCTCTAAGATGACAATATGTAATCCGTTAACTAGTGATTTCCTACTGTTTATTTTTTTC